AGATAAGCAGATATAAGCCCTAATATCAAACCATAAAAGCGAATTAACTTTTGCAAAAAGTTAAAGCCTGCTTGAGAAGGAAAAAAAACAAGTCTATGATAACAGATGTGAGCGTCCACTGCAACGCAATACTAATCCTTTTTACCTAAGATGTGTACAATCCAGAGAACACATACAGAGGACAAGTTTTAAAACAAAATTAAAGAACGAATAATCAGAAAAGCAGATCCGGCTAAGACAGCTATGTGAATTTTTATACGTACCAATTGTAGTCATCTGGAAGAGAAGAATACGTCGATTTGTGACAAGCACTAGATAAAGCTCCATCTGCAAAAATCCATAGGGTAAACCAGTTTAGTTCGCCTGTGCCCAGAGGTAAATCTAGCCATTAACCGGTACATCTCTGTTGCTTGCTGTTGGTTTACAGAGATGGGAAAAAGGAAAGAGGTCTAAAGCAAAGGGACGTGGTGGGGACAGGAGGCAAATGAAGGGAGGGATACTCCATGTCTTCTCTCATTCGGAAACCTAGACACATAGACATGTACAAATATGTGACACAAAAGCAAAGGGGTCGCCGGGCAGTGGTGGCGCATGCCTTTAATCTCAGCACTTGGGAGGCAGAGGCAGGCGGATTTCTGAGTTCGAGGCCAGCCTGGTCTACAGAGGGAGTTCCAGGACAGCCAGGGCTACACAGAGAAACCCTGTCTCGAAAAAACCAAAAAAAAAAAAGCAAAGGGGTCTGTCTGGGAGAGGAAAAATCCAGCCAAGGGGAGGAGAAGCAACGGAGTGAGTTACAAAGATAATGTAGGCACAAAGATGTTGGTGAAAATTGGGGGGTGGGGTGGGGGGTGGATATCTTTTGGGTTTTTTGTTTGGTTGGTTCAGAACTGTTTTGTTCAGTTTGGTTGGTTGGTTGGTTGGTTTTTCGATACAGGGTTTCTCTGTTTAGCCTTGACTGTCCTGGAACTAGCTCTGCAGACTAGGATAGCCTTAATCTCAGAGACCCACCAGCCCCTGCCTCCTGAGTGCTAGGATTAAAAGTGTGTTCCACACCATCTAATGAGGATCATAATATTCAATGCTGCCTAGAAGAATAACTCCAAGGAAAAAGCATTAGAGCATTTTTTTTGTTTTTGTTTTTCGAGACAGGGTTTCTCTGTGTAGCCCTGGCTGCCCTGGAACTCACCCTGTAGACCAGGCTGGCCTCAACCTCAGAAATCCACCTGCCTCTGCCTCCCAAGTCCTGGGATTAAAGGCGTGCGCCACCAGCGCCTGGCCGAGTATTTTATTATTTACTATTAGTCTTCTGTGACAGTCTCATCATGTTGTCTTGGTTGTCCTGAAGCTCATTATGTATATCAGACTAGCCTCGATCTCATGGAAATCCACCTGCCTCTGACTTATGCCAACACATCCATCCCACTACAGGGATTTTTGGATGTTGTTTTGAGACAGGGTCTCTCTACATAGGACTGGCTATTCTGGATCTCACTATATAGTCAAGAGATCCTCCTGCCTCCGCCTCCAGAGTACTGGAATTAAAGGTGCACCACCACACCCAGCTCATTACAGTAACTTTTTAAAAAAGATTTACTTATAGCCGGGCAGTGGTGGCACACGCCTTTAATCCCAGCACTTGGGAGGCAGAGACAGGTGGACTTCTGAGTTCCAGGCCAACCTGGTCTACAGAGTGAGTTCCAGGACAGCCTGGGCTATACAGAGAAACCCTGTCTCAAAAAAAAATAAAGGACATTGGATCTTACTAAAGATAGTTGTGAGCTACCACATGGTTGCTGAGAATTGAACTCAGGACCTCTGGAAGAGCAGTCAGTGCTCTTAACCACTGAGTTATCTTTCCAGTCCCTTTTTTGGTTTTTCAAAACAGGGTTTCTCTATGTAGCTTTGGCTGTCCTAGAACTTGCTATGTAGGCCAGGCTGGCTTCAAACTCACGAAATCTGTCTGCCTCTGCCTCTGCCTCAAGCCCTAGGAGTAAGGTGTGCACCACTACAGCCCAGCTTATGAAACTTTTAAAAGCATAGATAATCAAAAGTTAAATGTGTATGGCTCTTACTTTAGTTTATGGCTACAATCATTAGCAATATTCTACGCTCATGAATTAATTTTAGGCCAGGCATTGGTGGCACGAGCTTTTAATCCCAGCATTCAGAGGTAGGGGCAGGTGGGTCCTTGAGCTCAGGCCAGCCTGGTCTCCAGAGAAACTTCTAGGACAGCCAGGGCTACACAGAAAAACAGAATATGATGAACAAAATAAGGTTCAGAGCTTTACAAATGAGTAGGTAGGCAAGGGGTCAGGGGACAGAATTTTAAAAACGACACGTCTGTCTGTAGAATGGATTCTCTCATTCGATCATGTGGGCTCCAGAGATGGAACTCAGGGCATCAAGCTTGGTGCCAAGTTGAGAGAAAGATCCCTGCTACCTAGCCTCCTGTTTCCCTAAGAGAGCCCAGCCCCCCAGGGTGCTGAGAAGTCAGACCCAGTACAGCCAGTAGTCTCCACAGGAGTTAATGTGAAAACTACTTACCTGTCCCTCTTCACTGAAAAGATCTTTTTCTATCAGATTTCCCACTATGTTTATGCTGAGACCCTAGTACAAATTCGACATCCTCAGTCCCTGGTGCACACAGCAGGAGATTTAGAACTGTTTGGTTAACTGATAGGAGTGACAGGGATGGCCAGAATGTTCAGTAAACTGTTCCCAATTCAGTCATCCTAAGGTTCTGTGACTAACGTGACAAGGAGTCCCTTGTCTACACAGCTTCTATCACTCAAGGAAGACTTAATTTTGAAGGTTTATGTGAGAAAGGATGTTGTTAACATTAGTGCCAAAACAAAATCCACAATTTAAAGAGAAAGTACAAAGAGCATCAAGAAAAAGCCCTCCCAGATGAGGGAACAGTCAAAACTCACAGATGCAAGCGACATCAGCTATGGATGCTTACTTTTTCTAAAGCTTGTGAAGCCATTTGATCTCATAATTGACTTAGAACAAGGAAGGATGACAGAGAAGGTATGACTAGTCATGTGACAGAAGGCTTTCTATAAAAGTGGGATTTGGTAAACTCCAACAATGTTTTAAAAAGGAGTTTAGTGCAGGGCTGGTGAGATAGCTCAGTGGTTAAGAGCACTGACTGCTCTTCCAGAGGTCATGAGTTCAAATCCCAGCAACCACATGGTGGCTCACAACCATCTGCAATGATATCTGATGCCCTCTTGTGGGGTGTCTGAAGACAACTACAGTGTACTTACATATAATAAATAAATAAATAAATAAATAAATAGTTTAAAAATAAAAAAAGGAGTTTAGTGAGCAGAACAGGCTTGCCTTGCCTCAAATGACCCCAAGGTACCTATTTATTGCTTTGGGGAGGCAGGGTGTGAAAGCAGCTAGCTGTGACAAGCAGGATTTTCACATTCTGTTTATTTATGAGCCAATAGATGGACTATCAAGCACATATTATAGACTTTCAGGAAAAATGATCTTCAGAAAGGAAGCACATTTAGTGGCCAGATCCACAAGGGGAAACCTTCTAAATATTAACAATGATTTCTCTGGAAGATGGGGCTGTGGATTTCCTTTTTATTTCCAAATTTTTGAGAATTACTAAAAAAAAAAAAAAAAAAAAAAAAAAGTTAACAGGTGTAAAATGTAGTGAGCCTAAATGTTCTACATGAAGGGGAAACTCCTCTCTACCAGTTCACCTAAATCCTTCTTGTATTTTATTTTGTTTTTTGGTTTCTGGTTTTTCAAGACAGGGTTTCTCTCTGTAGCCTTAGCCGTCCTGGAACTCACTCTGTAGACCAGGCTGGTCTCGAACTCAGAAATCCGCCTGCCTCTGCCTCCCAAATGCCTTCATATGGGTGTATGAAGACAGCCACAGTGTACTTTGGGCAGGAGTAAGCAGAGCCAGAGTGAGCAGAGGGCCGAGAGAGAAGAGGAAGAAAGGGGGGGGGGGAGGAAGAAAAAGGAAAAAAAAAGTCTCACTTACTTTGGATTGGAAATAAATGCTTCCAGATAGTTCTGTTTGATATCACCCATTTTACTGCTGCCGCCATAATCCTTAGCAAGTGATTTGAAAAACGATATTGTGAAGAGAAACTGCCCCTAAAACCTGTGGCTAGGCACACAGATTTTCATTCCTGATTAAGAGAGAAAGAAAATCAGCTACAAAGGTGAAGTTAAACACTACATCAAGATATGAACCACTAGCTAGTACTAATGTCTTGAAAGCAAGGCTTTTAAACTCTGCTGTTCCAATTTAACAACAGGACAAAGTCACTGACATCAAAATATGAGAACCTGAGCAACTATGTCCACTATCATTTCTCTTAAGTGCAACTTTCTCAGGACTCTGTGGAGTCTGCCTCAGTTAGTGAGTGCTCCGAAAACACGCCATTACTTAGACAGTCATTCACACATAACACACACTGCAAACTCTTCCTCAAACGCTAATGAGTCTACATACTACCTCCCAAGTCCCACACAGAGACCCCTATCACTTACAGCAATACTGTTTCTGATGAAATGAAGTATTCAACATGACTTATCTTTGGTCCATGAAAAACTTAAGAGGAACCCATCGATGTTACCATCTTAGAGGTTTTAAACAAAGCACTTTCATCACCATCTCGTCCTACTGTCGCATAACATTTAAAGATACGGCAAACGTATTTGTTTCGAATCACGAAAATTTTAAAGGGACTTAATTCCAAAGACTTTGGAGTTGCTCACTTACAGACTGAAAGTCATTAACTAAACGGCCTTCCAGTTCTTCAGTGGTAAACTTCGAGAAGCAACCACAATTTTCATGAGATGTTATAAATAAACAGTATATAGTTACTGTGCCTTTACTCCCTATTGGTCTCAATGACTCTCAATAGGCATGAAAGGAGTTAGGACAGGTGCTCTCTTTATTTGCACGCTGATGCCTGACATCATAAGAGCGATGCAAACTCCGAGTCCATTCAGCAGGCTATTTATTTATGCCTTGCAACCCACTTTGCTTATACTCTGTGCTCTTTCAGACAGCTGATTAGGAACAGAAGGCTGAGAAAAGTCAAATGCTTTTTTATTTTAGTAGTTCACTGTTTAACTGTCGGCATGCATGGGAAGAAAACCCACGTCTTCTGATTACAAGTCTAAAATCAAAACGTTTGTGGAGGACATCCCTCTGCTCGATGCTAGCATACTCAGGGGAGGGTCAAACTCTATCACGCCAAAGACTTTCCAGGATGAGCCCCTTGCCACAGAATTCAGTTCCAAATCAAACACCACGGTGGGTCTGAAGTTTGAGGAACAGGAACACAGGGACTACCATCCATGAACCGATTTAAAGATCTGAACCAGGAGGAGTCTCAGGAGTCGCAAGGTCACCTAGGTGCAGGCTGAGGCTGCCGGCATACGGTGGTGTGCTACGGGGAGGGCGCAACCACGAGCCAGCCCTTCTGCTGGATGGAGCCTGGGGACACCGGCAGCCTCGCCCTGCGGCCAACGACAGACAGAAAAGCCCTCAATGCCTACGGACAAGCCTTCCCGGCCTGTCCCAGAGGAGAGGGCAGCAGAACCTCCACAGATACTCACCACGCGCTCGCCATCTTGCTTCAATCTGGGTCCTAAAGGAGCCGGCCTACGCTCTACAGGCCCGCGAGGCACTCTGGGAGTTGTAGTCTCTGCCCGGAAAGTAGCCCGGGTTGCAGAAAGAAGGCGGAGCAGGCAGCTGTGACCATGCTGCATTTGTTGTGGCCCCTTAGACTCAGGATTACCAAAGGTGTTCAGACAACAAAGTCGCCACTCTCCCGATTTTAGTAGCAGGTACTATTTAAAAATAACATCAAAACCAATGTTATATTGATATTCAGAGAATACTAACATTCTCTAAACATTATGAGCTCATTGGCACCAAATTCAGTTCCAAACCAAATAGATGAATTTCTTTTCCATGATGGATGAATTAAGTGTTCTCAGAGGAGACCAAATGCCAGAGAATTCAAATGAAGGGCCTAGGACTGAGATATTTGAAATGAAGATCTAAAGAAGACTTCTAAACCAATGGATTAGATGAAGGAGCTGAAAGAAAAATATTCTGGGCATGGCTTTGCCGACCAGCTTGAAGGCTAGGCAACATACAGGAGAGGAAAGACTGATAGAGCAGGTTGGAAGTTGTCTGGTAAGGGTGGGAAGGGATTCTATTCAGGAGTTGTTGATCTGGAGATTCACCTGAGACACACAAGCGGCGATATAATGAAGCAGGCTGGTAGAGAGATTTGTTTAGAGAGTAAAGGATGGGCTAGCTAGGAATATCAAGCCATAGGAATGAGAGTTGGGTATGTAGCTTGGTGCTAGAGCATGCCTAGGGCTCTGGGTTTGATCTCCAGCACCACAAAAACATATTAAATAAAACCTCGGGAACAGTGAGTTGGTGTGGGAAGAAGATGTGGCTAAAATGGAAGAAGGCTTCAAACAGGGCTATGGAAATCTAACACCTAGAGATCAAATGTAAGAGTCACCTAGCATGAAAAATGAGACAGTCCAATACATAATTGTTGGCATTCCTTCTAGATTCCGCCCAACAGTTACCTGGCAACAGCCAAGTAGGCTTGGCTTGCTATGAAAGGGACTGTTTGGCCTCCCTTTGCTCTCTCTGACCCCTTTCGCCCTCTCTTCCCTTCCCCCTCCACCCTCTCTCCATGTGTTCCTGGCCAGTTTCCTCTCCTCTCCTCTCCTCTCCTCTCCTCTCCCCTCCCCTCCCCTCCCCTCCCCTCCCCTCTTTTCCTCTTCTCTCCTCTCTTCCTCTCCTCTCTCCTCCCTTCTTCTCATCTCTCTTCTTTACTCTCTCTCTCTCCTTTCTCTGGGGCGACAGGGGGATGCCTCAGCATGAGCCCATGGACCCTTCCTACCTCACCAGCAAAGAGCTTACATTGGCACACATAAAAGTAGTTTGGCCTGCAATAGTGGCTCATGCTATTAGTCTCAACACTCAGGAAGAAGAGGCAGGTGGGTCTCAAGGGTTCAAGGGTAGTCTGGTCTACACAGAACATTTGAGAACAGCCAGGTGCTCTACGGAGAAACACTGTCTCAAATACATAAAACAAATGAAAAACTTAAAAAAGTAGTTTGAAACTCAAGTAATAAACCAGCAACATAGACAAAATCCCAGAACGTGGTAACTGCCTTGGAAATGATGGAAAAGTTACCCAGTGTGTGATGTCACAAGCCCTGAACGTCCTGCTGCAAATATTTGACAAGAGAGAGAAGTGTCAGGTGGGTGACACAAGACTGTGATCTCAGTACTTCGGAGCTAAAGCAGGAGGATTTCTGTGAGCTCAAGGCTAGTCTGGGCTCTACCTCTACAATTGTGTTGTATCTGCAATAACTATATTCTGCCCAAACAGATATTGCAAGGTTACTCTAACCTTCACATATCATTGATATAATTGTATTCCACGTGATCTTTTGCCTTTAACAATGTTGTTCCCCTGAGCTTCAGCACAAAGGGTCCTTATGAGGTCACCAGATAAAAATGAAGGACTCTAACTTGCATTGTGGTCAGTAACTTTCTCACCTACACTAGAACAGTACACTCGAAAACTGGGTCTGGTTGAAATATACATTTTCCCTTCCTTCTAAGTTTAATACAGGCCATGAGTTATATTTTACTATCCCTTCAGAGTTTGTATGACAAATCTACATTGTATTTGCACGTCTGTCCTTTCTTAAGAGCTTAGGAGCTGTCAAGGTGGTGCAAACCTTGAGTCCCAGCATTCAGGAGGCAGAGGCAGGTGGATATCTGCATTTGTGGTCAGCCTGCTCTACAGAGTGAGTTCCTTGACAGCTTCTGGTGTGTATAAAGACAGCTACACTGTACTCATAAAAAATAAATAAATCTTATTTATTTATTTATTTATTTATTTATTCATTTTTTTGGTTTTTTGAGACAGGGTTTCTCTGTGTAGCCCTGGCTGTCCTGGAACTCACTCTGTAAACCAGGCTGGCCTCGAACATAAATCTTTAAAAAAATATCTTCATCTAATGTCTAAATTGAATAAGCCTGAAGTTCTTGTATTTGTCAGGGTTTATCAGAAAACAGATAATTTACCAAAATTGGAATATAATTCTGATATAATTCCAGAAGGTACACTTCACTGAGGCACTGAGGTATATGAGTGGTTGGTAGAATTGCAAACCATAGTATTTATATACCCCAGGCTTGGTTACACTACTTAATGTAACTCATTCCTTCATGAACCTCTAGACCTAAAGGTAAGAGAGAAGCAATTCCCAGCCCCCTTGGGAGGTGCTGGCCTATAGTCAAAGACTACCACCAACATGAGATGACCTTGAAGGAGCCACCTGAGACAATAATCACCCTGACTTCTCCAGAATTCCTCTTCCCTACAAATTAAAACATAGTCCTACAAGACCGTCTCCTGTTTTCAGATACCAACTAGAGACTTAGAGCCAATGTCTGTGTGTCTTTGTATGACGATAGTCTCAACCCAACCAGACAGTTATATTACAAGATGTGTTAGGGGTTTTTGTTTTTTGCATAGTTTTGAACAAAGTATTTGATAGAAATAACTTTTAAAGTATGGAAGTTCTTGTTTTGACTGATGGTTTTACAGGGTTTCTTTTATGGGTTGTTTGGGTCCATGCCCGTAGGCACAGCATCATGGCATCATGGTGGTGGGATCGTGCAGAAGAGGAGGATTCACAATGTACAGCAAGCAGAGAAAGCATCTCACAATGTGGCAAATAGGAAGAATAGAGCCAACATAAATGCTGAGTGAAGGATCTAGGCTAGTCATCAGCTATCATCAAAATACAAGAAGGGCCAGGCAACGGTAACGCATGCTTTTAATCCCAGCACTTGGAAGGCAGAGGTGGGCGGATTTCTGAGTTCGAGGCCAGCCTGGTCTACAGAGTGAGTTCCACAACAGCCAGGGCTACACAGAGAAACCCTGTCTCGAAAAACAAAAAAACAAAATAAAATATAAGAAGGATTTAGGTGAGCTGGTAGAGAGTAACTTCATGTAGAACATTTAGGCTCACTACATTTTACGTCTGTTAACTTTTTTTTTTTTAAGTAATTCTCAAAATTCGGAAATAAAAAGGAAATCCACAGCCCCATCATCCAGAGAAATCATTGTTAATATTTTAGAAGGTTGTTCCTTGTGGATCAGGCCACTAAATGTGCTTCCTTTCTGAAGATCATTTTTCCTGAAAGTCTATAATATGTGCTTGATAGTCCATCTATTGGCTCATAAATAAACAGAATGTGAAAATCCTGCTTGTCACAGCTAGCTGCTTTCACACCCAAAGCAATAAATAGGTACCTTGGGGTCATTTGAGGCAAAGCAAGCCTGTTCTGCTCACTAAACTCCTTTTTAAAACAGCATTGGGCCAGGTGGTGGTGGTGCACGCCTTTAATCCCAGCACTTGGGAGGCAGAGGCAGGCGGATTTCTGAGTTCAAGGCCAGCCTGGTCTACAGAGTGAGTTCCAGGACAGCTGGGGCTACACAGAGAAACCCTGTCTCGAAAAAACAAAAAACAAAAAACAAAAACCAGCGTCAGAATTTACCATATCCCACTTTTATAGAAAGCCTTCTGTCACATGACTTTAGTCATACTTTCTGTGTCATCCTTCCTTGTCCTAAGTCAGTTATGAGATCAAATGGCTTCACAAGCTTTAGAAAAAGTAAGCATCCATAGCTGATGTCGCTTGCATCTGTGAGTCTTGAATGCTCCCTCACGTGGGAGGACTTTTTCTTTTTCTTTTTCTTTTTTTTTTTTTTTTTTGTTTTGTTTTGTTTTTCGAGACAGGGTTTCTCTGTGTAGCTCTGGCTGTCCTGGAACTCACTCTGTAGACCAGGCTGGCCTCGAACTCAGAAATCCGCCTGTTTCTGCCTCCCAAGTGCTGGGAGAGAGGACTTTTTCTTGATGCTCTTTGTACTTTCTCTTTAAATTGTGGATTTTGTTTTGGCACTAATGTTAACAACATCCTTTCTCACATAAACCTTCAAAATTAAGTCTTCCTTGAGTGATAGAAGCTGTGTAGACAAGGGACTCCTTGTCACGTTAGTCACAGAACCTTAGGATGACTGAATTGGGAACAGTTTACTGAACATTCTGGCCATCCCTGTCACTCCTATCAGTTAACCAAACAGTTCTAAATCTCCTGCTGTGTGCACCAGGGACTGAGGATGTCGAATTTGTACTAGGGTCTCAGCATAAACATAGTGGGAAATCTGATAGAAAAAGATCTTTTCAGTGAAGAGGGACAGGTAAGTAGTTTTCACATTAACTCCTGTGGAGACTACTGGCTGTACTGGTCTGACTTCTCAGCACCCTGGGGGGCTGGACTCTCTTAGGTAAACAGGAGGCTAGGTAGCAGGGATCTTTCAACTTGGCACCAAGCTTGATGCCCTGAGTTCCATCTCTGGAGCCCACATGATTGAATGAGAGAACCCATTCTACAGACAGACATGTAGTTTTTAAAATTCTGTCCCCTGACCCCTTGCCTACCTACTCATTTTTAAAGCTCTGAACATTATTTTGTTTATCACATCCTATTTAAAACAAACGTTTTTGTTATTTCCTTAGCTTGCTGGATACAGGGATGCAGAGC